TGATGGTGCATTTTCTCCCTGCAAATTATTCACGGGTACCCCGCGAAGAGCTGCCCTCATTGATCTGAAACATCTCAAAGAGTATAAGCGATTGATATCTCGAGACGGGATGGATGACTACGTTGGCTTTCAACCCACGAGACCTCTCTGACTGGACCGGGATGTGTACTCCACCATTAACGAACAGTACCCACTTGGTCTGCATCTGGACTCTCTCCAAGACGCTAAGGAACATGATGCCTTTGGGAGGTGCCATGTTCTGTCTTCTCAAGCTTGGTGCGACTGTTTCCAATTATCCATAAGAATTGATAGTACCTGCGTTTAGACCGGTCCCGACTCATATGAGCGGGCAAGGTACATTAGTTTCAACTTTAGTACGGAGCTTGCGACTGCTCGGGCCGATGATTATTTGAGATGCCGGTCACATCTATACTCGAAAAAGCAATACCAATGTCAAACGATATGATATGTTTTAAACAAAAGAACAAAAAAAAAACAACAACCACTGGGGCCGTGCGAGTATGCAGAGAAAGAAAAGATGACCTTCTAGATCCGATAATACCGAAGTACTCTGTCTCTTGATACAAATTTGATTGGAGGAAATAGTCTACATATGTTGGATGTACTATATGCAGGAAGCAAAATAGAGAGAAAAAAAAAAAAAAAAAAGTAATCGGCTTTAAAGCAGACGGGAGTGGCACAACAAAATCTTGGGAATCGAGCGAAGCGCCGTAAATCGGTCATTTTCCCGTGACAGTAATACTGGTACATCTGGTTACATATATATTACATAAATTACAAGTCCACCTTGTTCAGCGTCACTCTGGGCCCTCTTTGGCTGTTTAGATATTATTCTTCTTTCCCTCTTTGCTTGGTTTATTTCTGTTCTTTTTTTTGAATATCTACAATATCTACAATTAAGTACGGAGTACGTCTTTGATTCTAACTTATACTTGGTTATTGTCATTGGTCGGCAGTAAACCAAAACTGCCCTTTCCCCGTCTTTCCCACACAATTCCCTTCTCTCCTCTCCATCTTTCATCTTTCATCTCTTGCCACTTTTATTCTCATCTTTCCTTTTGTCATACTCGGAAGGATTTTACCTTCCTTCAAAAGATAGATCTTCTCGGGGCATGAGCGTCTGGAGGGTCTAGCCCCCCCTCCACGACTCATCAGGAAATCCCAAGAGGCGTCGAGGCTGGGTGGTGGTCTCCAGATCCATCGTGTGTTCGTTTCGTCCCAGTCGTCAGCTTAATTATCTTATTATCATATATTATTATCATAAGATCCGTTCCGTGCTAATAGGCGTTTTGCGTTGACAGACCCTGGTCGTTGGCTGAATCCTGCCAATCGTCGCTCGCTTGGCTGCATTCGATCATCAACTTCCGGCAAGGGTCTTCTCGTTTACGGCGGGTACGGGGGAATTTCAATTCAACCCACCTTTTTTTTGGCCGTTCATCCCCTCCCCCCACCGCGGTCGCCTTTCTTTGAATTACCTCTCCTCTCTCATCGAAACCCTCTCCATCGGAGATTATGGAGGGGATACATCATGGAGGGCATGGGGGAGCCCGGCCTTCCCAGCCTATGGCCTTTCCCGACTTCGACGCTGATTCTCACATGATGTCCGACGACTTCTCCTTTGACACTCCATTCAGTCCCTCTGGTTCCTCCAACGCCAATGATGGCGTCCTCGGCAACTCCATCTTTCCCGAATGGACGAACGGTGCATCGCGTGGTGACAACCCCGATGAGATGCAAAGGAAAGATCCGCTGGCTGCTCAGATTTGGAAACTCTATACCAGGACAAAGTCTCAGTTGCCCAACCAAGAGCGCATGGAGAATCTGACATGGCGAATGATGGCTATGAATCTCAAGCGCAAGGAACGAGAGCAGCAGGCTCGGTAAGAAACACTCCGGCGAATCTCAAAAAGCATCTAGCTGATTTACTAATGTCGGAACAGTGCCTCGGAAACTCTAAGCCCGGCACCGAGCGGCATCGCGCAGATGCGCTTGTCCGACGAAGTATCGCCGAGTGGTCCCGATGCTTCGCACGACATGAACCTTGATACCACTTCGGATCCAATGAATCTGGATGACTTCATCGTTCCCTTTGATTCGCCAGCCGAGAACTCCTCGCATCCTCCTGTCGATCGACACTTCACAGCAACGCCGACTGGATCAATTCCTATCAAATCGCGCAAGGACCATGCGATGATGGATTCGTCCACCGCCGCCTCATTCCCCCACCCACCCCAGGATCAGCGAACAAACTCCGAGTTTGGATACGTCGCCCGTCGGGTTCGTAAAACGAGCGTCGACGAGCGGCAGTTCTTCGCCGGTCTGTCTGTTTCAACCCGGAAGCGGCCTGCCGATGCCTCACCCCAGGTTCCCCCGGTGTCCAACGCTATGATGGCGCAGCACTCGGAACTCTCAGCGGCGATGCCAGATTACTCGCTCGATCATCCACCTTCTGCCTTTGCTCTCTCCGGCAATGGCACGGTGGGCCCGCGCAGACCTCAGCACCATCACACGCACTCTAACATTCCATATGGATTGGATACGTATGGCATCAGCGAAGACCACGGGATCAGTTCGGCCGGGCCTTATCAGCAAAATTTCCATTTTTCACCATCAGATTCTCCAATGACTGCAGGAAATCCTTTCTCCAGTCTATATGCCCAGACGCCGCTCGCCTCATCACTTAACTCAACCGAGTTCTTCTCGCCCCCGCCTTCTGGCTATCAGTCTACTGTGTCGACCCCGCAACCGATTTATGAAGGGGAGCAGTCGATATTCTTTTCTGATGCGCCGTCCGCTGAATCCCACACCCAACGCCGCATTCCTAATTATATCCAACAGCGTCAGTCGAACCTGTCTGCTTCACTGCAGCCACGTTACATGTACAACATGTCCAACGGCGAATCTCACTCAGGCAACGCAGTTACAGGGCCACCAACTACTCATGCGTCTGGGTTTTCGGTGCCACAACCGCAGCATATCAACCCGTCACAGGTGCTTGGGCACGGCGAGTTCTCCACAACGGCGCCTGCCAGCAGCATGTTTACCTTTGGCGGTGATTCAGATAATGAGGATGAAGATGGCAACTTCGGTGAACGCGGAGGCATTACCATGCCAAATGACTTTGCCTCTCTGGATGAGTCTGGTGAGATAAGCGCCGGTCTTCATTGGGACGGAGGTTTCCCCGGATCAATACAGTCGCTCCCAGGCTTCAGTGCTCAGCACCGCAAACATGTTACGATAGGATCCACAGACATGATAGATGGCCCATCTGAATGGAACCAGGGGGGCACTCTTGGCCGCGGGCACGGATCCGCTGCTTCGGTCAGCGAGGTTCGCAACCAAAACCAGGATCCTCGTCGCTACGGGAAGGTCCCTCGCACAGCATCGACCCCCAATGCTGCTGCACTGCTCCGTCAGAGCTTGAATGGCTCGGCCAGCGGGCCTCCGACAAACCACCCCTCGCCAAGCACGCCCCCAGAGTCCGGTCTCAGCAGTGCGGTACCGTCCCGACCAGGCAGCCCTGGTGGGTCGAAAAACGGTGACCCGAACGCGGGACCGACCACCTGTACCAACTGTTTCACCCAGACCACCCCTCTTTGGAGGCGTAATCCGGAGGGCCAGCCTCTTTGCAATGCATGTGGCCTGTTCCTGAAACTCCATGGCGTTGTCCGGCCACTTTCGCTCAAGACTGATGTGATCAAGAAGCGAAACCGTAGCAGCGCCAACACCCTTGCTGTTGGCACTTCCCGGTCATCTAAGAAATCTTCCCGCAAAAACTCCATTCAACATGCCCCATCTACATCAATTTCATCCCGCATGAACACTTCTGAGTCACCACCCTCAATCAATGGATCCAGCACATTGGGGAAACCCGGTGTTGTGCCAATTGCTGCTGCCCCACCCAAGTCCGGTCCCCCAGCTGGCGTCGCTCAGGCCCGTGCTGGTGTGCAAGTGGCACCCAGACGGCAGCGCAGACTCGAGAAAGCACCAACTGGGTCCGACCCAGACGCAGACGACAGCCCTAAGTCAACTACTCCCGCCAGCCGGTCCAAAGTCGTGCCATTAGCTCCGGCGATGGCACCACCCGCCGCCGCAAACCCAGCGAACCACAGTATCGCCGGTGGGCAGGGTGCCAGCCAGGAATGGGAGTGGCTGACAATGAGTCTGTAGTCGACTTCTGCCCCATGGTCCTTTTCTTTGCTGAGTTTTGCCGATGTGTGACAGGGCCTAGCCACCACTATAATCTCACGTATTACACGACTTATGTCCTCGGCGGTCGTGGCTCCTTTATTAAACTGCAATGTCTTTCCTGATTACTATATGTCACGTGTGCTTTTTGCTTTTTTTTGTTGATTTGATTGATACAACCGCGTCTGTCCGGGACCCGAGCTGCTTATTATGTTTTCTTTTATGTTTTCTTTTTTGTTTCCTTTGTTGTCTCGCAGCTCGGAGCCGGGCAGAAGTGCGCATCTCTCTCCGTCTTTGTTTTTTTTTCCTTTTTTTTCTCGATATTATTTTACTCATTTATCCTTGAACTTCTGCTGAGCAGGCTTTGATTAATGGATCATGTTATCCTTGCGTGATTACTTTTAGACCTGGACTTCAATATGATCATGATTTTCTCCAATTCATTTCCTTCCGATGTTGAGCTTATCACCCTTTGGGTGTAATTGAGCCCTAAGTGCTACTTTCTTTCCATCAGCTACAGGCTGAGCGAAGAATGATCTCACAACTAGCTTCAACCCCGGACATTAAGCCGGGTGGGAAACAATCCACGTCATATCGACGAATAGTCGGGCAGTACTACTTGAGAAATAAATTACTTTTATGCCATACAAATCCAAGTCATATCTCAGTGTATTAACCAGCAATCAAACTAACATCAAGATAGCTGGAAAGACAGTATGGAACCTCTTTCGGTCAATATCAACATATTTACACATTAACATGGCAAAGCTGATTCTTTTCAACAGGGCAACATGTCTAACACAGACGGTGAGTAGCCATCTCGTGGGTTTCCGTCAATCATGCAGAACCCAACTCACACATAGCAGAAGCCTCCGAACAATTCACTACTAAAACGAACACCACAGATAGGGTCACTGGCCGCGTCCATGAGTCTGCCAGTAACGCACGCGAGAAGATAGCTGAACAGCTCCAACCTGGTGCGTATTTCCAGCGAGGACAGCACATGGGTTTTGTGTCTATGTCGAGTGACGTCCGATCTGGAGTCGGACCCCGGGTTGCTTCTTTGAGTACCAGCTAAATAGACCGATTGCGTTCTGCAGGAGACATGAAGGCGACATCTCGTCGCTTGTCAGATACACCCGATAATATCTGGCAATTCGGCCAGGGTGGTGCCAGAGAAGAGCGAGATTATGGGCTGGAGAGGGATAAGTCTTTGCTGCAGTCGGCGCAGGAGAAGGTGGCTGAGGCCATTGGAGGAGGGAATCGTGGTTAGTTGCTCATTGTGGCAATCATTCCATATTTTGGTATAACTAACCAGAGTATTAAGGTGGGAGCTGAATTCCTCTCGGAAGCTGATTAATTACAGACGACTATTATATAGAATGGAATTTCACGTGAGATGTTTATACATCGATTAAGAAGGTCTATTGCATCGTTCCTTCTCCTATCCGTTTATTCTATCAAATTATTGATCAAACTCCGATGAACGTCTAGTAACAGCCCTTCCTCATTATACCGAGGGTGGACTACTTCTAGCCATGGCAAATTTTCTGAATCTTGTGGCGGATTCGCATCGTTGAATTGAATATACTTGCAGACATTAACATCGTTTGTCTAAAGTCTACATGGAATTTATATAATAATGGTGTTATAGAACATAGGTGGCTCTCAATGAATTGCAAACCCAATATTTTGCAGAATATCACGATATACTTCCCGTTTGGGGAGATATGTATGCCTTAGGCACCAACTGATAAATCACGTGTGATAATGAGAGCAAAAAAAGAATCACCGACAGCCATCCATCTTCAACAATCAATTGACTTTGCACAGCCATGGGGTCCAGCTCTAAAAGAAAGAAGGATAAGCAAAAGGACTTCCAGGTTAGAACTGCAAACCCCCGTTTCTTTTGTCCAACCTACTGACCTCTGCAGAAACCTAAACTCAAGGTTGGGAAAACTAAAGCGAAGCCCGACAACTACACCGATACCAGTTTCAAATCGAAGTGTATGTGCATTTTTCCGGGCTGCTTGACGTGATGTTATGCTCACAATTACTAGCAATTGTCCTCACACAACAATCCCTCCACCTCTCCGCCCCAACTTCAAATGCCACATTCACGCATAACCTATCTCTCCTCTCCGCCAAGTCCGACAGCCAACGACGCGACTCGCTCGCTTATCTGACTACCACGATATCCTCTCGACCAGTAAACTCGCCTCTGCCCCAACCAGTGAGCGTCATTCTACCATCTCTACTGCCGCTCATCCTCGATGGAACCACCAGCGTACGGACCCAGCTTCTTAAGCTCTTGCGGACCCTGCCACCGGGCGATGTCGAAGACCATGTGGCGCAACTCCTTCCCTACGTTCGCGCAGGAATGACCCATCTTGCAGCGGACATCCGTAGTTCTGCTGTGGAGATTCTATCATGGATGGTCGAGGCAGCGGGGGAATCAACAGTTTCCTGCGCGGGAGGATGGATCAAAACACTCAACTGCTTCTTGTCTGTGCTGGGCTGGCACACCGAAGAATCATCACGGTGGTCCTCAAGCCGGGCTTCATTTGGGAAGCCTGGTAGCCAGGGTAAGCCCATGGTCAAAACGCTTGGGGCTTTGGCGATGTTTTTGGATGCGGGGATCGGGAAACCTTCTATCGGCGGTGTCGATAGTGAGATGTCTGGTGATGATGACGAGAGTACCGACTGGCCGTTCCCTCTTTGCCAGACCGCTCAGCACATGATCTCAGACTCATCTACCCCATTCGCATATTTGAATCTGTTTGGGAAGCCGCGCGACGAGGAAGGGGAAATGTACGAAACCCGTGAGGACAGGTACCGCGTGTTCTCGACTCGTTTCCAGCCAGCAATCGAGCGTGGAATCAAGAGCGCCAGAGAGGAAGGTGGCGAACTGGGCCGTGCATCATCCGGTGTGAGCAAGGTGTTAAAAGAAGCGATTGCATACGGACCGGGCCCATGAATTTGTTCAGGCAAGGTTTATGAGCAGAACCAAAACCATCCAATAGAATGGTACCATGACCTAGACTTGGGCCTAGCGCTTTTTTTCTGGGCTTTTACCTACAAAGCCACCAGTGGAGCACGCATCCGATCCAAGCCAGCTCGGACATCAATACCAGGGCATCTATCTTTACAGCGACGGTCTCGCCCCGCGACAACTGCAACCACCGCCGAATAGACCCATCGGTACGCCCCTTCGGCCGGGGTGGTCGTGGGCTTTACGCCCTTGCAGCAGGTAAAAGCAAGATATATACAATATCAAGGTCTCGAGCCAAAGCCCTAAGCTGGAGCCTCATATATCTTTTCATAGAACATCGATTTTAGTCATTAATCCCTGTATGCCAGAAAATCACGAGCAAAATAATCTAACATTATCCAAAAAAGTTCATTCTTCTAAAGAAATCTCCTGGGAACAGAGAACTGGACCATTGGAGTTGGAGTTCTATTTGTTGGCAACCCCTAAAAAGGCAAACATTTAAGTTTGTAGATTTATTATCGGACAGGCTACAACCAATTTAGAATGTGGAACATGTACAACATAGTACTCCGAGTCAATTCCCGATTCCAGCCCAAAGGCTAAAAGTAAAAAAGCCTTGGAACATGCTTGTGCTATGTATGTTGCGCAATACCTAGGTCTGTCTCTTATTCGCCTACCGTTTCTTTGTGTTCTTGGAAGTGGATATCTTTTTTACACATTTGAGACAAAGAGGGGAAAGACTTGACATGTCTTGTAGCGTGGGTCTGGCACTTCTTTTTATTTTTTTATTCTTTAATTTTTAAGGATTCGGGAAACTGGGGACTGTGAAGAAGAGCGTTTTTTTTTTCGGAGATTAACGCAGGAAAATCATAGAGAGGAATATGGTGTACGGAGTACTACCACTACCCATGTAGGTAATGTAATGTGTGGGAGGGATCAAGGCAAGGGATAATGATAAAAGTTCGATTTATGATTCATTCCAGAATCCTATCTCTTCTAATTGAATGAGTCTCACATCCAAGGTTTGCCCTAAGAACTTTCTCTTGATTACCAAAGTCGAAATGGTATAGATCAATAACTAGTGATAACTATTAGTCCATGAAGATCCACCGATGACTTGTACTGTGCCTATGTACCGATATGTGCATATTGATATATTGATATATTGATATATTGATATATTGATATATTAATATATTACTCAAATCATTCAAATGATTTTAAATTAAATATATTATGTTATTGACTATCACCTTATTTATTTCCAATAGTTCAAGGGTTGAGTGTGAGCTATCTCACCCTCTCATTTCCCCGATCTACATGTACTTTTATCTCAGGATCGACCATGATCGACTGTCTCTACCCGTCTGGAGGATCCCTAAAACCTCGGATCTGCAAAGGTCCGATTTGAGGTCTTGCTTTATCCGGGAATATCACGCTAAGTTAAGTGTTTGACTTGACATATTCTGAATTTGATACCTCACATCTGGTGCGGAGTACGGAATACGGAGTACAGGGCGGCCTGACGTTTTCTCTCTTCCCCCGGGGCCCCTTGCAGTCATATCTAAGGGGAACAAGGAGAAATCCAATTAAAGAAGAACAGTTCAATTGATGATTGGTCTGTGGTTGGCCAGCACTGTCCCTGGAAAAATAAACACAATGAAATAAAAGTATCGACTTCCAGGCGGCAACATGCAGCTGCATTAGCGAGTTTGCTGTGTCATATTGCCTTCCCGATCCAAAACTATACATCGCAAGTGCCACAGCGTGTTTGACGGTTAGAGTTGTCCAGAGTGAAAGGTTCTCCACAAGGGCCTTGCTTGGACGAATTCCTTTGGATGAACCCGTCTTCATTATCTGCAGGACCTGTCCTTCAGATTCGTACTACCGTTTTAGCCTCAACCTGTATATCTGTGCCTTTCCAGCCGAGAGGGGTCCCCCCCAGACTACTCCTGTGTCCTAGTTCAAGGATCCCCTCCAAGTAAGGATACGACAGCTCACCTGGGATCCTATTAAACTCTCTCTATTTCCGTCTCGCAGTTTCGACTTTTGTTCGCTCTTGATTCTCACATAGAACGCCATCTTGCCAATTCTGGTCGACTTTGTACATATTGACACCCCCCCCGTATATAGTGGTGTCAGCTTGTGTCGACGTATCATATTCCTCGCGCGTCCATATAACCAGTCAGCCCCCTATCGTGTTGGCCCTCTTGAGCAGGTGAGCATGTCTTGCTCCCGAGCCAGTGCCTCGGTTCGTCTTCTAACTTGGGAAATATAGCATTGTCTGTTGCTTTACCCATTGAACACCCTGCATTTTTATGTCGACATCCGGGAACCGTCGGATTGCAAAGTCAGCCAGTACTTGATGCTCCGTCTCCCTATGAATCAGTCTGATCCACTGCATGACTACGCCGTCGCACCAAGCCCAATTGTTCGGACTTATCGACCTGATCCTCCCTCGAAACGCAGGCTCCCCAATATGACGTCCACAAAGACTGGGCCACCACCTCAGCCTCTGGTTACCCCTAGGCCTCGAGGCGGGAGTGCTCCACGACCAGAAGCCCGATCAGCAGGTACCGCTGAAAGAGCTGGTAGAAATGAAAACCTAGTGGACATGGTTCGATTCTTCCAGACTCAAAACATGCCCTCTCAGACCTCGCCTCCATCTCAACCTCGTCCACGCTCTCGCGCTCCCTCTCAACCTCAACCCTCGAGTCCTTCCGATACAACCACTGCACTCCCGATTCCTATTTCGCCTAAGGAATCAAAGCCTGAATCGAAACCAGATCCAAAGCAGGATGTGAAGCCATTTCGTCGTCGCCTCTTGCAGTTTGGCCAACGCCAAAAAAAGGAATCATCGCCCAGGTCAAAGGAAGAAGACCAACGGCGCCAGATCGAAGCACTAACAAGGGGAGGATATCTTATTCCAGCGTCGGCTTTACCCAAGGAGTCAAAGGGACAAAAGGAGGCAAAACGATCAAAAGAAAGCCTTTCACTGTCTCTCTCTCGATCTCTTTCCAGATCAAAGAAAGATGTAGAAACCATTGGACAGCCATGGCTGCAAGCCAAAGTCGATACCGACATACGACCAACTGAAACAAGACGTCGCTTGGGCTCTCTGAATCTTGATGACTTTGGCTCAATGGTCGATGTCGCAGTCTCGCTCACTTCCGATTTCGACGATTCTATGCCGCCGCCGTACCAGTCAACCGATCACTCCACCCCCCAATCCCCACCAGCTATCCCAACGTCAGGTTCTATGGCAGACCTCAACTCTCAAA